TCCAAAATATAAAGTCTAAAACTAAAACTAAAAAAAAAAAAAAAAACTTCTGAGTGGATCCTCAAAGACCCATCAAGCATGTTCTCTCACAGTTCTCAATAAAAAAAAATGATTTTCTTACTCAATATTTCTGTCTTTCCAGTATAAAGCATTCCTAAATGAAGATACATTTACCTGAGAAGCAGAAAGACTCAGAAATAAGTATCAGAACAAAGTGAGTTTATGATTAAAACAAGAAAAATATCTTTCAGTAATTGGCAGTAGGGTAAGAAAAATTAACTTATATACAAGATATTTTTTCCTACTCTGCTGACATTTTTTCTCGTTTTAAAGGGGTCATATGATGCTGCTAAAAAGAACTTTATTTTGTGTATTTGGTGTAATGAAATGTGTTTATGCGGTTTAAAGTTCAAAAAACACATTATTTTCCACATACTGTACATTATTGTTTCTCCTCTATGCCCCGCCTTTCGATTTTTACAAAGCTCATTGGTCTGAAAAAGCGAGGTGTGCTCTGATTGGCCAGCTATCCAGTGCATTATGATTGGCCGAATACATCAAGCGTGTGACGGAAATGTTACGCCCCTCACCATACTGTCGATGCCGTGTCCGGCCGGAGCGACGAGACAAAAAACATGAAAACCCATTACAAACGAGGCATTCGTTGCATCCAGTGGGGACATAATTACGGATTATAATGACTTTTTTTTTTTTTTTTTCAGAAACAAGACTTGTCATTTTCTTTCTAAGTTATCCTGATTTAAGAATTTTGAGATATTTGTAATGGAAAACAAGACAAAAAAATAAAATAAAGATAAAGAAGAAATTTTTTTTCTATATATTTAAGAAAGAAAATTTCCTTGGTTTATTGCACATGATTGTACAGTTTTGTGAGCATCCCCTGTATTATTAAAAAGTGCAAATGAATAAGTGGCTGTGTAACAGTATATTTTCCCAATGTTATCACATGTCTTTAAATGATGCTGACACAATGGCAGGACTGGATATGCCATTGGCTCCAAGCAGTGAGCCGTGATTTATTATCCACTTTGTGCTGACAGCTCATTTTCTTGCCTCTCTCTTTCCAGGTTGTGTCAGAAGAACAGGCGAGGATGAAACTGAAGCCCTGTAAAAGAGATTCCCCCTTGGGGAGCCATAGACAGATGTGGAGCCCCTGGAGCCACTGACCCTATGTCTGGATGATCTATGGATGGAGACCACCAGCCCTCAAAAACCACATTGCAATTCCACATTGGCAGACGCAAACAAATGTTGCTCTGTAATTGCTGAGTATCTACATTCTGAACATTCGGTTCCTATACTCCATTTTCTCAAAGTTACCTTCCTCTTACAAGCAAAACGACCTACCACAACCGTACTTAGCCCAAAGAACTTTGACCCACAATCCAGCAAATGCATGCAAAGCTTCCGGGAAAACCCATGTATCCTCACATCACCTTCCAATCGCGTGACCATGAAAGAGGAAAGTTATGGCATCTCATTGAGAATGCTGAGGTCGGGCAGGCATGCCGTCTAACAGGATCAATACAACCTCGCTGATTAATGGGCAGATTTCTCTTCCATTTAGTGTGCTAGGGACGAATCATCTGCCAAGACCAAGATTATCTTCAGTCTTTAAGAGTTGCATTTCCATTGCAAAGTAACCTTGCTATAGAGCTTTTCTGGCTCTTTGTATCATTTAACACTGTTTCTTGTGATTTACAATCAATACGACCCTTGCAAAGCAGTGTGAATTAAACTGTCAATTGAAAGCAATTGGCGTTTTGGTAGGATAAGTTATTTTTACTTCTGGGTCAAGTTTACAAAATACTGAAAATGTAAATGCCTTCAAAATTCACAGAACTGGGTTGAAAAGGGTCAAAGCTTGACCCTGCTGATTAATAGGCAGATTTCTCTTCCATTTAGTGCAATGGGGAAGAATAATTTGCCAAGACCAAGACTGTGAAACAGGTCTCTTTGGTTTTCAAGAGTTGCATTTCCATTGGAAAGCAATCCTGCTCTGGACCGTTTTTGGCACTTTTTTTTATCATTTAACGCTATATATTCAGATTTACAATCAGTTCATCCCTTATAAAGCAGTGAATCAAACTGTCATTTGGAAGCAATTGGCTTTTTTCCTGGGTCAGGTTTACAAAATATTGGAAATGCAAATGCCTTCAAAGTTAGCAGAGCTGGGTTGAAAAGGCAACTGCTCCAACCAGCACAGTAAAGCTTGACCCTGCTGATTAATGGGCGGATTTCTTTTCCATTTAGTGCGCCAGGGAAGAATTATCTGCCAAGACCAAGACTGTGAAACAGGTTTCTTCGGTTTTCAAGAGTGCCATTTCTATTGAAAAGTGACCCTGTTCTGGACCTTTTTTGGAACTTTGAATCATTTAGCACTGCTTCTTCAGATTTACAGTCAATCGGAGAAGAATCATTTGCCGAGACCAAGATTGCGAAACTAGGTCTCTTCGGTCTTCAAGAGTTGCATTTCCATTGCAAAGGAATCCTGCTCTGGAGCTTTTTTGGCACTTTGTATCATTTAACACTGTTTCTTCAGATTTACAATCAATATGACTCTTGCAAAGCAGTGAATCCAACTATCAGTTGGGAGCAATTGGCTTTTTTGTAGAACACTTTCTTTTCACTTTGTTCAAGTTTACAAAATATAGGGAATGCAAATGCCTTCAAAGTTCACTGAACTGGGATGAAAAAGCAACCGCTCCAACCAGCTCAGTAAGGCTTGACCAGCTACTTCGAGAGTCCTTCGAACCCAAGTGCAACGGAGCGGACAAAATTGCTGTGAGTGAGTGTATGCGGTGGTGGCCCTCAGCATGGTGTTGCCACCACCGGACAAGCGGCATGTGTGTCTTACCACCTTTGTCATCATGACCAGCATGGCCTTCATGGATGCCTACCTGGTGGAGCAGAATCAGGGGCCACGAAAGATCGGCGTCTGCATCATTGTCCTTGTTGG